GCTTTTGCTGTCCGCTATGCACTGGAGCTTCTGGAGGCCTGTGCTGAATATGCCCAAACCATCTCAGACGATGTTGGACAAGCTTCTCTTCAATTGGTGCTACCCCAACTCTATCTCATATATCACCATCCCGGACTTGATCCTTCCTCGTGTGGCCACACATCCATCTCAACATGCGCATCTCCGCCACACCTAACTGTTGAACATGTCGCCTTTTAGCCGGCCAACACAGCACCATACAATATTGCGGGTCGAACCGCCGTCCTATAGAATTTGCCTGTCTTGTCATAGAGAATGCCAGAAACTTGGCGCAACTTCATCCATTCGGCTTTGATTCGATGGCTCACATCTTCATCAATACCCCCATCCTTCTGCAGCATTGACCCCAAATATCGAAAGGTGTCCTTCTGAGGCACCTCCTGCCCATCAAGGCTAACCTCAACTCCTCGTACCTAGCAGTACTAAAACTGCACCCCATGTACTTGGTTTTTTTAGTTCCACTAAGCCTTAAACCTTTTGATAATAATTTATCAAATAAATCTCCAGGCAATGTTCCTTTCATCAGTGAATTGTCTACAACATATGTAAGAACTACTTTATGTCTACTAATAACACACCTGAAGTTAAAATTCTGTACAGAGAATGCATCTGCTACTTTTGGACTTTTGGATGTACAAATGGTTAAGGATCAACCGATGCATGCGAAATAGATATTCCAGAAAATTTACCAAGGAACTATCCAGAATGGTTTTGCAACTATGATGCACAGTGCACTTAGTTGATCCTGACATGGCCGTAGAAACTCGTATGAATTGTTTCCGAAAAAGAAGAGAAAATTTTATGAACTGAGATCAGGAGGATATCAGAAATCGAAAATGAATGCAAATTAGCTAGCGCGGGTGGAATGGAAGGTAGCCATAGGACGTACGGCTCACCGACCTTCACCTTCATCCCTGCTGCGCAATTAAGCACATCAATCAGCGAGGCACATCAATCCCTGCTGACCTGGACGCTGTACCCAACCGCTGGATCTGCTTCAACTTTGATGGTAAGTCGAGGAAGTGAAGGAGAGGACGGCAGGGGATGGCCACCGCCGCCTTGAGCGATTGAAATTGACAGACCGATGCATGGAGGAGCAGAGAGGCGAACCAGAGAGCAAAGGGGTGGAGATAAGATTGTCCGGCTAAAAATGTTCGCTCCGAGCAGCATGGCTGTGCAGGCATCGGCCCTGATCCATGCGTGACTGAAGAACACAGCTGCGCCGCATTGCCAGCTGCCTGATCTGCATGAGGTGGTGGCCGTGTCCTGGTCAGCTTTACGGTGGAGGGAGGCGACATGGTGTCGTCGGAGGGGGCGGTGGAGTGTGACCTGGGATTGGCGGCGCTAGGATCGGAATAAATGGGTCGTGAGGTGGGGGTTTTCTCTCCGGCCTTAAATTTACACTGGTAGGGCCAAGCGAGAGCGGCTGGGCCGTTTGATTAGGGTGACGAATAATTCGCGTTGGGGTGGTATGCATTCAGTCGGTGCTTGCATGGATAATAGATTGTGGATAGGAGGGTTTGGCTCAATAATATTCTGTCCATTTGTCATATTTTGCGTAGAAGGTTTAAGCTTTTTATGCAATATAACATTGTGGAGCCCATCTCCTGTGGTTTAACCTTCTGGACGTAACACACAAACAATCTCAGTAATCCTTCATTGACTGCTTTATAATGAAATATGCTTTATAATACCACGTAGCTATTTTAGGTCTCAACAATGATTCATTTTACTATTAGAACAATGAGTACAACCTGATTTTATGTGCTTGCCCTTTAACACTGATGAAACAGTTGTGTTGTTCACCAGTTATTCTGTTTTTAGACTAATATAAGGAGTACAAATTGATCTTTTGTGCTTGCCCTTTAATAACACTAATAAAGCAGTTATTTAACCTGTTCACCAGTTATCAACTTATCAACATAATCTAATTGCTGTAGAAGATAATTCTGTGACATTTATCGGTTTCTCCTTGGGTTTCTACTTTCCAGGTTCCGAAATCAGCAATATATCTCCGTCGTGGTGGAAGGAAGTTTGCTACTGCTTGATTAAGTATTGTGTACAAGGCTGGTGGAAGGAAGTTTGCTACTGCTTGATTAAGTGTTGTGTACAAGGCAATACACCAGCGGAGTTAACTTAATTATGAAAATTGCATAACTTGGGCATTGTTTTGCTTCATGATCTTCCAATGTACTCCTACCGGAAGGACCCCAGTACTTCTTTTTATCGTGTTTTCCCACTGGATATTAAGAATACGTAGAACAAAGGCTGTGCCATTTCCATGGTGTAAATGAGTCATTAGCAAATAACAGTAGTGAAATACTTGTACAAGGTCTATGTGCATTGTCCGAATTCCTCTTAAGCATCGTTCACATGAAGAGTGAAAAGGTCTATGTGTAGATGTATATGCATGAGATTCCTGTATGCAATTCCCTTTGTCCGATGATATGTTACTTGCCTGAGGAAACAACAAAGACGAAGGAGTTATGAAGTAACAGGAGAGGAGAGGGCCCAAGGGCTTGTGTGTCCTCTTGGGGGCGTCCCTTCCCTCTGTATGCAGATGCAGGGGCATGGTGGCCAGCCCTCCCAGCCTTGGGTTGACGCAAGGGGGAGGAATTGTTCTTCTATTCCAGTTCCCTCCTTTTCATACACGGGTTGACGCAAGGGGGAGGAATTGTTCTTCTATTCCAGTTCCCTCCTTTTCATACACATGTGGACTTTCCACCTTTCCCAGTCATATGGGTCTTGAGGGACTTGTGCGCCTAGCCCAATAAGGCAAGGGCACCCCCTTCCAGCCCATGCCGACCCTGGGGAATTGGTGGAACCCTTGTGAACTTTCGGACTTCTCGAAAGTTTCCAAAACCTTTTGGAAGCTTCTCGGTATAATATTTAAAAATCTATTTTTTTGAAACTTTGAAAGCAACGTTTCAAATATAAATCTTTACCTCCGGAGCTCCTCGTGATGTTCGGGATCTCACTCGGGACTTTGAACAACATTTGGTCATCAACATGCATATCCCAATGTTACTTTAGCATCACCGACCGTTAAGCGTGCGGATCATACGTGTTCAAGAATCATGTAGACATGACTGAGATACCTCTTTGGTAAATAACCAATAGCGGAACCCGGATGCCCATGATCGGTTAATCCCTTATGCAATTCCCTTTGTCCGGCGATATGTTATTTGCCCGAGATTCGATCGTCGGTATAAAAACTTCATACCTAGTTCAATTTCGTTACCGACAAGTCTCTTTACTTGTTCCGTAATACAAGATCTCGTGACTAACTCATTAGCCACATTGCTTGCAAGCTCTTTACGATGTTGTATTACTGAGATGGCCCAGAGATCGCTCCGTCACACGGAGTGACATATCCCAGTCTCAATCCATGCCAACCCAAGAGACACCTTCAAAGATACCTGTAGAGTATCTTTATGATCATCAAGTCACGAAGTGACATTTGATAGCACACAATGTATTCCTTCAGTATCCGAAAGTTGAATGAGCTCATGGTCTTAGGAATAAATACTTGACATGAAGAAAGCTATAGCGATAAACTCAAGTGATACGATCGAATGCTAAGCTTATGGTTGAGTCTTGTCCATCGCATCATTCTCCTAATGATGTGATCCCGTTATCAAATGACAACTCATGTGTATGGTTAGGAAACCTTAACCATCAGTGGCATCATGAGGTAGGTCTATGCTTAGATGTATATGAGACGAGCAGAACACAAAGAGTTGTGGGCGTTGATGCTGAAATTGCTTACCTTCTTGTCTTATTTGGATTCGGCGGTATTGTGGGATTAAGCGGCTCGGACCAACTTTACATGTCCTCGCACATGAGATCGGTTCTACCGACTGACATGCAACTTGTTTTGCATAAGGTGGCTAGCGGGTGTCTGTCTCTTCTACTTTAGTTGAATCTAATTTGACGAAGGCGGTCCTTGTAGAAGGTTAAAAGGCAACTTGATTATCATCATTGTGGCTTTGCGTAGGTAAGAATGGTTCTTGCTATTTGCCCATAGCAGCCATCTAAAATTTGCAACAACAAAGTATGGGACGTCTAACTTGTTTTTGTAGGGCATGTTGTGATGTGGTATGGCCAAAAATGTGATGTGATATATGTTGATGTATGAGATGATTATGTTTTGTAATAGGTTCACGACTTGCATGTCGATGAGTTCGGCAACCGGCAGGAGCCATATGCTTCTCTTTAATTTATTAATCGCTATATAATTGTTTTACTTTATCGCTATGCGTTAGCAATAATTGTAGAAGCAATAATTGGCGAGACGATCACGTGACGACACGATGATGGAGATCATTGTGTCATGCCGGTGACGATGGAGATCAAGCCGGTGCTTTAGAGATGGAGGTCAAAGGCACGAGATGATAATGGCCATATCATGTCACATATTGATTGCATGTGATGTTTATCTTTTTATGGATCTTATTTTGCTTAGGACGACGGTAGCATTATGAGATGATCCCTTCACTTAGTTTTAAGAAATTGTGTTCTTTCTAAGTATGCGGCATTGCAAATGTTTGTCGTTTCAAAACACCTCGTGATGATCGGGTGTGATAGACTCTACGTTCTCATTGTTCTCATAGCTTTTTTATAACTAAAATTATGTCTTCTGTAAAATTATAGTACGCCTAGGCATACTCTGAAAAAAAGGAGCTGGCATCAGTTCATTTGTGAGCACATGACCTGCCCTGCTGGGAGTTGGCGTTAGTTCATTTGTGAGCACATGAGCTGGCCTGCTGGTTTGCAGAGCGAGGCAGAGGAGGCAGCAGTGCCCATGAAGGACGAGCTGTTATATTTCCTAAAATAGGAAGTTAGAAATTAATGCTTCGAAAGATGCATAGTTTCGTGTTGGAAAAGAGAGAGAGAGAGAGAGAGATAAAATGGAGGGGTAGGGAAGCGGAAGGGGGAGGAAACGGGGCAGGCAAGGAGAAATGGAAGACAATGGAGGTGCCGGGAAGCGGAAGGAGAAGCTGACCGGTAAGTACCTTCAATTTTGTTTTCAGTTTAGTGCCCTCTTGTCACCGACTTTGACACAATTCCTTTTTATTAATTTAGACGCTCAGAAGAAAGAAAAGAAGGAACAGGATCTCCAGAATAACATCACATTTTCAGTTGAGGCGCACCTGGAGTTTTATAGGGACAAGCACAAAGAAATGGACGAAGAAACCTCAACAAAGAACATGAGAGAGCTACTAGCGGCAAGCCTAAAACCAAGGAAAGAGAAGTAAGAGTCAGTTAACTTTGTAATGCCTAGATGGGTAGATGTAGCTTGCACGGTTCCGCTTCTAGAGCTTGATGGATGGTTGTAACTCGTAATGCAATGGGAATAAACTGATTTGTACCACCGATGAGCAAGATAGTTTTTAGAAACGCCAAAGCGAAAACTGGGGGCTTGTCATTCTGCCTGAATCAGTTCCCCTCTCCGTCGAAGCCCACGCTGGCTGCCGCTCCGGGCCGGTGGCCACTTGTTCCTCACCCCTCCCTCTTCTCCCCTCCCCATGGGCTCCCCTTCGCAGCCGCGTGGCCTTGAGGTCCGCTGGCTCGGCGGTGCGGACTCGTCCGAGGAGGACTCCCCGAGTTCGTACTGGAACGCCGTGGAGGGCAAGAGACCGGCGGTGCCGGAGTCGGGGGCTGAATCCTCAAGGGCGCGCCGTGCGCCTCGCACGGAGGTCCATGTTGTGAGCTCGGAGGGTTTCGACGCCCTGGGAGCAGCCCAAGGACAGGCGCAACCGTGGCCGCCGCGGCACAAAGCGCAGGGCGGCAGTGAAGCGCGACGGCCCGGACCCGGCGTTCGACGGGCGAAAACATGCATTCGTTCGACGGGCAGTGCCTCTTGTGCATGGAGCCCGCCCACCACGCCAAAGACTGCACGAACGGGCCAAGGTGCATCCGGTGCGGCGAGTTTAATCACCCGCCCCGGTGGTGGCTGCGACGGCGGCGGACCGCATGGTCGCTCCGCTCGCAATCCGCGTGACGGAGCCCGCCCACAGGCCACAGCGTCGTCGCAGGGACGAGGTCACAGCGGTGTCTGTTCGTTCTAATCTTGTCATGCATGCGTTTAATTAGAAGTTTTGTATCATTGTATGCTACTGTGTAGTTTTTGTCAGCATAGCATCATGGTGACGTAATTAAGCAGCTTTGTGTCAGTCTCACGAGTCACGTGCAGAAACGCTATTTCTACTGGAAAAAGGTTTTAAATCGCGTCACCCGGTCGCTGCGCCCTCTGATGAGCCATCGTGATTTCCCTTCCACGCGCTGTGTTCACACCGAGATGACTGAGCGTTTTTTTCTTGGAAATAAGGCGTTTACGTTCGTTCGCGTTTCATCCATAGCGCCAATCTCGGCCGCTCGCGCATGCAGCAGGATCCCAACCAACCGGACCTACACAACCCATGTGCCATTTCGAGAAAATTGCACGATAGTACCACATTTAGGACGGTGTTGGCAAATTGATATCAGTTTTCAAAATTTTTACGAGGTTCATGTGACAGACTTTTTTTCTGTTAGCAATTTCAACGACCGAATTGGACTCCATTGCAAGTTTTTGTCGAATTCGACAAATAAATAAAATAAGCAAAATAAAAATCCCCTTGCTTTATACGTAATCACGTAAATGCCTTTTATTTTGTGGAAAAAGGTTCATGTGACAGACTTTTTTTTTCTGTTGGCAATTTCAACGACTGGCCGAATTGGACTCTATTGCAAGTTTTCGTTGAATTCGACAAATAAATAAAACTAGTACATATGCCCGTGCGTTTCAACGGGAAGAAAAGTCGCAAAACCTGGTCCACATGCCACTGCACGGCACTTCTTATATCAAGCTCTGACAAGTGTCGAAATAAGGTTGCCCTCATCTTTAGTAATTATGATTATAATCTACAGAACTTCCCCGTCCTACCAAAGAAAAAACTTCAATTTTGTCAAATAGGCAGCACAACGTTTATGAGTATGTGTGCTTGACTTCTGAAAATCCATACCAGCAAAACTATCATCACAATCATGTCAATCAGGGTTACCACACCGCACTCTGAACCATGAGTATAAGAAAAAAACTTTTAAATTTCTAAAGAAATATGAGTTCAGGTGTCATCACTAAATAAACTTATTGGCATGAAGGATATGTCCAAGTCCCAGGAGCACAACGAATGAAGCTATTGGTTGATGCTTCAAACCATGCCATGTTATGAGCTCTGATGAAATAATTATAGACTAACTTGGCACATCTTCAATGGAAAAAAAATTAAGGAATAAAAGCGTGCAAGAATATTAAAGTACATATGTGCCAAAAGTTCTAAATTTATGTCTTGTGAACATATATTATTCACGAACTGAGAATCACAAATGACTGCAAGCACAATCAAATCTGATACTATTCTAACCTAAATAATACATGAGTACGAATCAAAAGATACTTATTTAGGCTTCAAAGTTAAAGCCAGAAAGAAGTAACCTGTTAATGTGTGTTATGAACTGAGGACACCAATCAAATATGATACTATTCTGACCTAAATAATACATGAGTACACATAGTGAAAAACTTATCAAGCCACTTGAGTTGAAGTAGCCTCTGTGGCTTGTCAGTGTGGATCGAGGCTATTGCACATGAAAAATGCCATGCTCTACTTGTCTAGTAATTAACCATCTGCTGGAACCAAACCCTAGCATCAACCATGAGATTAACCAAATATCACTCACAACCATGAGATTACTAAAAAGATTCCTAGACCATGTATGCGCAATCGTCCTCTGATGTAGAGACGCAACTTGCAATTTTTTTCCTAGTTCGTGTATCACGTAAGCAATTCGTGGTGATAGACACTCACAATGGCCCGAAGCACAATATAATATCAAGCACCAATGGTCCACAATAGTTTTCAGTACTGCAAATCCTTGTAGTCTACTGGCTTCACTCAAATGGGACAGCGTGCCTTGCACTCAGCCGATGTATTTATACTTGCACATGCATAGCCGCCTGGTCAAACTTTGCAGAACTATCACTTATTAGTCACTCCACCATAAGAAATACATTACCAGCTTAACACCTTGGCATGTTTAGAATTTCAATGAAGGAAGATTGAATAGCGATATAAATTTGGAAACAATTAGGACCGTGTCTTGTGATGTTGTTAGCTAAATAACTCAAGAAAAAGATGATCTTGTCACTAAGCCAGATCTGGAATTGCCTCCAAAAGCCAAATCGTGCAACTTGAAAATTACGAGGAAATCAGTAGTACACGAAATCATTAGCTTAACAGAGTGTCAGATCGGATAGTATTAGTTTGTAAAAGATACCCTAATTGATATAAACTCAATATTCATCGATCTGATTCTCCAACAAATATGAAAAGGCAACTCTAAATTGCTCAAAAATAATAATGAAACTCCTATTTGCTTGAGACAAACAGAAAATACCTTAAGAGGGAGGTGGCAAAGATTAGAATTTAGTAAAGGACACCGATGACAGTAGTTGCTTCCTCTTCGTCAAATATCCCCCCATGTCTTCCTTGGGACCGTCAAAAGAATGCAATAGTGGAGCGTTACAAATCGATCGGTTCAATCTAACTCAAACAACAGCTCATGGATCCCTTCAAACCAATACGAAGTTGAAGCCCTCGGACTGGCCGTGGCGAATTCTGACGATGTAGCAGGGCAAGCCTCAAAACGTGTCGCTAGCGAACGAGCCACCAATTCTGCTGGATGACGCGTCCCAATTAGAAATCGTGCGAGAGCTGGACGCCTCTCCATCCACGGCCACATCATGTCTCGCGGACTTGTATGTACGTCTGGGTCCTGAGGTTACGCTTGCGCCTACGTCCGTGCTGCGATGATAGACGCAAACCACCACACGCCATGGGTGGAGAAGGAGCACCCTCTGCTCGCCCGCGCCGACGTCGCTGAAGGACAAGCCGCTTTCCTCGGCGACGGCGAGGCCCAGGCCGCCAGGTTTTGATATCGCGGTGACCGACTCAGATGCAAGGCAAAGGAGAGGGAAAGTAGAGGATCGGGGATTGGGGCTGATATGGTTTATGCGGATGCAAGGGGAAGAGGAGGAGTCCGACACGTTGTGGCTTTCGTGCTTGTTTTTTTAGGGGATCCTGCTCTTATTATTGCTTATATTACGGGTGGAGGAGGCCCAACCGAAGCCCAATTAGATGTCGTGGTCCAGGTCAGAAGCCTAAAGTCAGTAGCGTGCAAAGAAGAATAGTACCACCTCGTAGGAAAACGAGAAAAAAGAGGATGACGGTGAACCCGACAAACTCAAACCGTGCTTTATTATTACTAGCAAAAGGGCCCGTGCGTTGCACCGGGTGAAAAAAAACCACACTTTCCTAACCCAATTGCTCAAGACCCCCTCTCATTCCACGACACACCGCCAGCCACAATGACATGAACAAACTCTTTGAAATCCTCCATGCTGCCATGAAAATATGTACTGCAGAAAAAATATGAACGTATTTTAGAAGTGTATTAAAGGTGTGTGGAATTTAAATCATAGAAACCGGGTGATAAATGTGACAGGACTTGCTTCATGGGTAACAACCAAAAGATTGAGTGTATATTGGTGGGACAGGCAACCAAAAACTTGGTCGGACAAGTGCTGCAACAACCTTTTCTTTTCATTAACTAAGCATTTACTTGTATATATAGTAACTGAATCCCATAACAATTTTGCTTTAGGATCTGTAGTCTATAGATCTTTTGTTTCTTTTGTACTTAAATTGCTATGACTAAACTGAAATACACATGGGAGGATCATGAATCCATGACCAATAACTAAATTCTAATGTGTACCTGTATAATGGACTATTTCAACCCATAGAGCCAATAGTGTCAGCACTAAATCGCTCTCTGGTGGTACCACGGCTGGCAGGGATCTCAGCCGGGTCCGGCGACCTGGAGAGGATGTGCCGTGGTGGGGAGGAGGGGCGCGGGCTTCTGCTCCACCGTCCAGATTGGGGGCGTGCACGTCAAGATGGCGCCGTCTCCGTTGTAGGGGCTCGCTGCTGTAGGGGATGGTGGGAGAAGGTAGCTCCTCCTCCTCTGGCCGTCCGTTGGGTTGGGAAGGAGAAGGAGATGGGAGGTGCTGCTGCGCTGGCGGGTCGGGGAGGGAGAGGGGCGGCAGCGCGCAGCGGCGGGACTGGGACCAGCGGCGGGCTGGGGTGAGGCACGCTAGAGGTGGAAGATGGGATTGGATCGTGGGTGGTGCGGCTGGGTCAGCTCGTTTTCT